TGATAGTGACAGCTATACACACAAATTTTATTTTCTATAAACTTGCCCATTAAAAAATCCTGGAGTCAAATTTATGCATTAATCGAACTTAAAATCTTATTTATTTATTTTTAAGAAAAGTTAGTCCAGTGAATCAATCCTCTAACTCTGTAAAATACTGAAATTTTTATAAGCGTACAAATTTAATAACAGTTAATAACAAGTCAACACAATGGGTGAGTCTCTTAATCTAATGATTCTGTAAATAATTCAATGGAGAATGTCGGTAGGAGGACTATGCTTCTCCACGAAGGGTAACTGGAGTTAACAAGCAAGTAGGTAAATAATTCAGGGATATTTACAATAAAAAGTGTCCAAGTTTGAGTTACGGCCGAAGAAATTAGAAGTCAAATCAAAGGAGATTCGATAAAAAATTTTGGTGTTGTATGAAAGACTCACTCAAGATTTTGTTGTTATTTATTATTTAATTATTTTCAAGCTTATCACCCTTATATTTCTAAAACAGTGAGAACAAAATTCACCATGATTTCAGTAGTTAATTAAAGAAACAATAAAGTGGTTATCACAATTGATTGATCACTGGGTGGTGATCAATCTCATGCTTGTCTAGTCCTTATTAGTGCAGATCGAATGCTATTGATCATGTTGCAATGTGGCCACCAGTTTAGGTGACTCGACACTGCGGGCATTATGTATTGATATTAGATGGTGGTTGGAGGTAGTCAACAGGAAACCCTGGACCCGGGTTTCGTGCTACTTGGCACTCGTCAGTAAGGTGTACCTGTAATCTTGAGGGAACTGGAGCTCCCTGGAGGATTAGATCTCGTGTCACCCAGCTTCACAGTCAGAGACGTTACCACTGAGCTATCCGAGCCGTGACTAATCTCCTGTAGGACTGAGATGTAATCACAATTGATTGATCACTGGGTGGTGATCAATCTCATGCTTAACTTAAAAAACTAAAAAGTAAATCATACCGTCTTCTAAATAAAACCATAAAATCAATATCAACCTATACACCTTCAATGAAATGATATTTCATTTCGATAGGAACAATACTGAAGAACTTGTCTGATAAATTTGCCACAGTCTATTATATCATTTACTGTTACAACAAAAATAGTTTTTTTTTCAAGAACTGGTGACTTAAGGACAATTTATTTGAAAAGCCTGAAGTTCAACAAACACTAGCATAACAGAAATAGATAAACAAACGTTTAAATTTTTAGCTTCTTAAAGAAAATGTATATAGCTCGTTTGCATTTTTAAAAGCAATCGGTCAAGAAGGACTACAAATACAGATTGAATAGAAAAACAGCATATTCTTGCAAATAGGCACATCTCATATACACAGATTACGATAGATAAAACAGAAAATGATCAAAGTAATCAAAACAGTAATACTAGCAACACTTAAGAAATCAAACGAAAATAATAAAAGAAATATGCCAAGGTAGAGGATTAAGGTGTAAAAATACTCTTAGAATCATTCTTACAATCACATTAAGAATTGTCAGATCTAGATCAATGAAAATAACTTTTAATCTCATTACCCAAAACTATACACCTTTTATCACAACTGTTTTGCCAATTTCAATCAGAAAACAAACATTGCACTACATGAGTCCATCCAGAAGTTAGAAGTTTCATGCTTACTGTTTCAACGACTCTGAAACCTTTTCCAAACTGTTCTTCGGTTAGTCAATGTATTATGCTGAAATAGATAGTGTCTTTTCATGTGTTATATTCATTTCAACTAAACCATCCAATATAAGTTTCAAATTCCATCAGACAGCTTTAACGCTTACTTACTATCAATATACCATCCTTCAAAATACATTTTAAAACTTCAAAAGCTTTTGTGAATAGTGTAACTATAAGTCAAATATTGGTTTAACATAGAGATTAATAAATAATCACGACAGAACAAATGAAGTCTACAAGAAATGGTATTTTAATGCAAAAGCAGCTCTAATTTGATACAAACGTAACAAAATGCATGAAAACTGAAGAAGTAAATACTGAAAGTTCGATAACATATAATGACTTCATTAAATCGTGTTTGTTAGCTTATTGACTAGTATTTATCATATAGCTTTATTACACCCAACGTAAACCAATTTCAAGTTAAGGTTAAAACAAGGTTAAGAAAAATTGATCGGAAAGTGAGGCTAAATGCTTATGCAGTTATGGTGGACTAATGAGGTTAAACAAATAAACTACTCATCAATACATTAATCACAGTTAAAAATCACTCAAACATTATTGCCCAAATTCAATCCTTTTATACACGTGAATAATCCTGATTGTTAGGACATTCCTATTCTAAAGAGGCTGTCTATGAAGTAGAAGCTTAAGATCAAATCCTCACCTCATCTCACTTCACCTTCATTTTTTTACCACTAAAATTAATATCAGATTTTGTCTCTTCCTCATTTTCTTATGATTTTCTGTTTGGTTTTACATGTTCACTTCAATCTTAATAACTAAAGTAAACCAAAACTTTTAATTTTAGATTGTTGCAATTGATTAAAAAATCTTGAAGCAGAACAAACTCATACTATTCCGAAAATTTTGTTATACTTGCCTTATTTGAATAGATCACTGTATTGAACAAAAGTTAATTGATTTAGCATGAGTCCCTAGATATGGCCCTATAAATCATGAAAAGCAGTTGCATGAGGCATTATCATACATGGGTCAAAATAGAAGCCAGCAGAGATCCTATAATATTTTTGATATGCTTGAATGCTATTATGAGTTCACCTTACTCGGTACACGGAACAAAGGTCAGAGATACACTGACACGATAAACTATTCTAATCCGTTGTCCCCGGCCCTGCTAACTAGATCAAGAAGTCTTGATAAGGCGTAGAGAATGTGTTCAACAAGCACCCAGAAATACGAGGTCACTAGGTACGCAACTCAAGCTTATTTATACAATGATAGAAACGCCCTTAGGAGAGCCACAAAATAGCGTGCTAAAAAACCCGTCAACCAATGACAGTCAAGGATTTCCGAGTGGGAAATGTAAGCTGAAGGTCAAATTAAGTGTCACTTGGCGCGAAAACACAAAATTCAAGCTTTCAGAATAAAATTACAAAATTAGGACCTTTTTTAAGTGATTTCTGGGAATCTAACGTCCTCAACAATTTTTCAATGAATTCTTCACAAACACTAAGAGAGATATGGTATATGTGTGTGAATTCGTAGCATATGTGTTTTTAAATTCTCGATTTGTGTGAGGTATCAAGCATTCCGGTCATTTTTCCGTTTATTCAACGGGTGAGTGTTTCAAATTATTTTCACAGAGGATTTCAGTTCAAACTCTAACTTTCACTTAATCTAATTTTTTTCTATCCAGCAAGTTGTGATGCATTACAGTAGCGTGTCTATAGAAGATATACAGCTTTAGATTATTAAAATGAAGTCTCTAATAAAAGTTATGCTCTTATATGTAGTCCTTACTCGCTAACTGAACAGAATAGTGCTCGAAAATCCCGAATATTGCACTTTTATTAAACAGTGAAAAGGAATGATTATCCTCATATTAATAAGATAGTTTTTTTTTAATTGAACAAAATTTATCTCGATTTTATTTATCTATGTACGTTGTCATTTCTTACTATTTATTCTTGATTCTGTTTTATAGTTTCCTCATTTTCTACTTTTTATTTTTTTCGCAACAGAGTTCATCCATTATGTATATCGTGTTATGTATTGCCTTCATTGTGCTAGACATGTTTCTTTTTGTATAGTAAGTAAATAAGAACAGTGGTAAAAGAAAGTGTATTATGTAATAAGTATCAATGGTGTCAGTAAATATTTTTTCTTGTTTTAACTAAATAAATACACAAACACATTCCTAAGTATTTTTCAAGTCTTTTGTTAAAATTAAAATGCATATAATTCATGATTATTATGACATGGCTTAAATTCATGAAGTCACTGACAAGTGGACTGAGCCATGTTGGTAGGTGTAGACTACCTGGTTGGGATCTGCGAGACGATAGCAACCTATGGTTGGAGACATTGAATGACATGGTTCTATATCGTTTGAAATCGCGCAGGTTCATCCACTCTTTGTGTTCTCCCAAATTTTAATCTTCTGAATTCTTCATATCCTTTTTTTCTCTTTCCAAATTTATTTCACTGAATTATACTCCTTGAATAACATCTTCAAACCCTAATCTTTCCAATTGCTGCTTATATTTTCACTACTTCTGTCAATATAAGATTTGAGTCGACAATTGTACCTTTGTGATAATATAGTATGGCAACTCCAATAGATGTACGTACGTACGAAGTTCTACGTTGTTTCTGACTGGCTGACTGAATAATTCTTTTCATTTGTATTGTTATAACTTGTATTATATTTCTATATAGTAGATTACATTTAATAATTCCGTAATTCATTCATAAGTATATTGAATAACCATAAAAGGTTTTCTACAATAGATATTTTATCGTAATAAAATAAAAACTGAATGGTATATACCTTTCTATAGTATAACTAATCATAATTTAGTAAATGAAATCATTGCTAAGTAATGAGAGTGCTTTTTACATCCACAGTTGCATTAAATCATTCAATTGTCTATGCTAGAATGTATTAATGTAACAGTGTAATTTTTATTGAACTACATGATATAAACTAAAATATAAAAATGAATATTTGCATAAAAATTAAATAACTGGAATGTTTATTACAAGAATTACAACACTCAAATCATTAGTTCCTGATACAATTAAATGAGCCATAATATTCGCCATCGAACTGCATTAAATCCAGCATGGAATACATCTTTTTTACTGACGTATATACTAATCTAAATATTCAGTAATTATTGCTTTAACGCAATCAACAGATTGTATATCACTTTGTACATTTTGATTAGTGAATAATTGTTATTCTGTGGCAAAAAATTTTACCAAATTAAGCGAAATAATAAAAATTATTTTAAACAAAATATTTTAAAATTTCTATAATTAACACTCACAATGCGATTTTCAAGGTTTGCTGCCATTGTGTGTATACTGTCAAGCAAACGTGATTCTAAGGATCTTTTTTCATCTTGACATTGTTGAATAGATACTTGAATTTCATTCTGTAATTCACTGATCTTTTGTTGTAAACGTCTTTCAACATCGGCAATTTGTTTATATAATGTCTCCTCTAAACGCTGAACAGCGGAGTTAAATTTAACATTATCACGATCAATTTGATTTGTTATTTCAGCAAACTATGAAAATTGAGGAAAATAAACAGTGAAAATGATAAATTTTGGGTATATTAAGTGAATTCAAAGACCTTAACTTATGCTACTGTAAAACATTCCAATAGTCATTTGAAGGTTAAGCTAATGGTCTGTGGAAAAATATTAACTATCACCCTAGATTTCACCTGAAGTCGTTAAGCCCGACTTTTTAATTATTATAATATAAAAATAAAAGTTTACGTTGCACGAAAATATTAGTGGTAGTTCAACTTTTAACTTTATGTTATATATTTTCTGGGTTTGATGCAAAATAACTGCAATCTTCACTTGGCGCTAAATCAGTCATAAGTATCGTGAAACATGGCATATATGTGCACTAGTTCAAGTTACTACATCACGTCATTACAGCAAAACGAATTTATCAAGGTGAGGACCAAAAAGTTAGAAACAGTAGTATTTTTGATAGTGAAAGAAATATTGCTCATAAGGAATATGACTTGAAAAGAGTGAATGACGCTTCAGAATAATAAGTATAGAGTAATGTTGAAACTTAGGATCCAAGACAAAATAAAAAATAGATGAAGCTGAGCGATGTCACTCAATATCTCCAACCACTGGTCACGAAAATCGGGTGAAAATAAACCAGGTATATTCGACTTATCAACATGAATTAGTACAACAATTAGTAGCTTCATGGGCTGATGCTATATTTTGATTTGGCCATCTCAAGCCTTCTTCTGACTTATTTCTACGGCAGACAACAATGGTCGTGAATACTTAAAATATGTCCCATCCACTTCGGCCGATGAAGATTCATCAATTCATCAACCTAATTAGCCTCTTTGCCTTGTACCTTAGGTTTGGTTTCCACATTACTCACTCAGTACTGATAATAAACTCGAGATATAGTTCGAAGTAGACTATTATTAATAATAGGAACCTAAAAGATCCTCTACTATTAAAGTTCACACTTCATAGTCCTATAGTAAAACATGGTGAGCTGCTAAACGATATGCTGACCCCTTCATCCACAGGAGAATACCTCGCCTACGCCACAAGTGATGCAAGTTGGAAAAAGCCGATCGGGGTTTCTGAATCTGTCCGGAGATCTCATCGGACTCCTGACCACCAGAGCTAATGAAACTCTCAGTTACTTCACTCCTATAGGCCAATCTAGGCGATGATACTAACCAATCTCGAAATACAACCGATTATAACAGAGGAAACTAGTTTTCTGTCATCATCTGAATCTCAAATACAGGTCTAATTTTGCGGTTTCTTTCATTGAAACTGAACTGTATTTCCCAGTAAGTGGGTTATCACTAACATTGGTGGCATCACCTGGACTTCTAAGATTTTGATGATCCTGCTAGTTTACACTCCCTATATCAAAGTCACTTGTGATGATTCACACTAATACACACTTGCATCAGGTCGTGCAATGCTTTTGGCTGACTTAATCTTATGAAACTGGAAGCATTGTTAAGAAGGAAGCAAAAAGAGATAAGCATTTGGGAAGTAACACTATCCTCATCCAATATAAATGTTATATTACTGCTTCGCTTTCAAAGTGGCTGATCACATACGTTCGAGTTACCCTCCTAAACCTCAAAAAACATCTAGAAGTTAGCTACTAATGAAAATAAAATAATTATTTTATAAAAGGCACCAAGTTAAATCAGTTTATTCAGTACAACAGACAGGAAGTACTAAAATGCTATCAAATAACATTTAAATTTACGTTTCTCCGCTAACTGCTATAGTAACACAACCTAACGTTATTTGACTTTTATCAAATCAAGAACTATTGTCTATATGTGATGAAACTAACAAATACACCATATATAAATGACTAAAGTACAGATAAGTAGTCAGACAGCATAATCTTGTGTACTATAAACGTGGTGAAAGGAAGAATAAAAGTAGTATTTACCTGAAGTAAAGTTACATTTTTACAAATTTTACATCTAGGAAACACAAAAATGTTATGCTTCACTGGACTGCGGAAAGCAATCCAGTCAAAAAAGGTCTGACGAAAATGTATTCTTATTTTATTACAAGTGCATACAAACAGACTATAACTTAGAAAATGTAGAATTTGTTAAATTATTTAAAATGAAAAAGAACGGAAAATATCAATTCATAGTCAGGGAAATAGAGAAATCAATAAAATATAAGAGAACGTAAGATGTAAAAAAGGAAGGTTAAATAGGACTTTGAATACAGTACGAAAGGCTAATAATCACTTTATTCTGGTAATTTAAATGTCTTCATTATTTCTATGGAAGATATTAATACCGATACTCGATTAGATAACTTCAAATAAATTAAGCACTGATTAGAATGGTAATAATAATATGGTGATCTATTTATGATATTCCAACGGTACGTCAAAAATTCAAATTTCCACTCATCGGAATATCACTGATATATAATTATTATGTTACTCCTGTGAAAGGGTTTTCCGATTCAGAATGACTTGTAAATCAAATTTTAATGATGTTAGTACTGTCTTAGTGCGTGATGTAACACAAAAACCGTCACAAAAATGGACTGTTTCAAATAAAGATGCATGGGGCAGCTGTTCTGCCCTACCGTAGAGCTTCTTTTCAAGTCACTAATAGAAGTTTTTAAATTGGTTCATCCGTTTTCAGGTTTCATTGTCAGCTTATAGACTTAAGTAGACAGGGAATCTAAACTTGATGATTTCAGCTTATTCACAAGAACGTCTAGTGATAGTGTCCGAAAGGCTAATCTCGGTTTCTCTCAAAACTATGAATGTTTACAAAAGCCTCGTAAAGCTTGAAACTTATAAGTAATAAGAATAGTACAATGACATTTAGAAAGAAATCTATATTAAATCGACCCTATTTGCTTGAAGCACTGACGATTGTTCAGTTAATCACCGTAACGGTTTCAATGGTTGCGAATAAAAGCTTAGTATAATCCATGAATCGTTCACAGATTACTGAAGATTTTTCTACCGTCTGGTAAAAAAGAACATTCTTTTTAACTGTGGGTTAAAATTATGTTTTTACTGATAATAGAATCACTGAGAAAACAACACTGGAATTAGGTATAGGGTAGTGGGAGGATGCGGTAAATCGATTAGCGAGGCTGAAAATGTTTTTCGACCGAAGTTGTTCCTATAGATCTTACATATCCATATGTAGCATATATCGACGCGCATGCCAGAAAGTATAGAGATAAGTTTAAAAAGGCTACATCCTCACAGATAGAATTATAACATCAGACCATGAAGCCAATGACTTTTGGTGGCAGTTGCGTTTGGACTGGGTAATTTCCTGACTGAAGAATACAAGACAATTGTAATCAAGATAAACTAATCCATTCTTTACCTTGCTATAATTCTTGGGGTTAGCAATCTTCTGTACTTCTTATTGCCCGAATTTACTCATTTTTATTTTAAGTATTTCATATAATATCAAATGAAGACACTAAAGTAACTGAGAGATTAACAAAACCTGAAGACTATTAGGTATTTCTTACCTTATGTTCATGTAATTTAAGTTGACCATTCAATTCATTTATATCATGTTTATGAGTATCTACCAATTGGCGTACTTCTTCAATTGTTTGATTAGTTCTTTGTGATAATGTCGATATAGCTTGATCACAACGCGTTATGCGACTTCTGTGCACACATTTTTTAAAAATTAAACAAATAATTAAAACGATTATTTATTTATGTTTTCTTTAAAATTTAGTGTACAGCAGTAGACTTATCAACGCAGAACTTAAACAAAAGAATGAAGAATAAACTAACATAGAAAACTTAGACTTCGGTTAAAGAAATAAAACTTGTTAAACTTTACACTTGGATGATAGCAGTTCCATAGCCACAAATAAAGGAAAATGAAGACCATAGTCACTAAAAACATGAAGTTCAGCAAAGGGATCTTTTATCAATGAATTTATTATCAAGATGTACATTTGTTTATTTTAAAGTACCAGTTCCATGAAGCCGTATGACATACACTTTTGTGGAGCTAGATACATAGGATGTAGCCAGTGCTTGCTTTCATCTCCGTTACGCGAACGTGTCCCCAGGTGGTTCCACAAGAGTCAAAGGAAAGCGGTCAGAAGTCTCATTCTTCAACATCTAATCGACTCTAATCATTCTCTCGATCTACAGATTGACTCCAAGGTTTTGTAAACAATTCGTACAGATCTACCTAAATTCCTTTGTATCCAACTCCTCAAAACACCATCCATGAGCTCAAGTCAAAATTATACCTACAAAAGAAGTACGTCCTATCTTTATCATTACCTTGACCTTAATCTATCTTTAAAAATAATATTATTATTGCATTTCGTAATACCCTGCTTCCTTTACTTATGTCTCATATCCTCGTGATTGTATTCAAAATTGTTATTGATATCACTTCATTTAATTTTTCACCTCTATTACCTTTAATTACCTTCAATTAATGTGAAAAAAAACATTTTAATCATCTTGCTGCATTCACACTATAATTCGATGATAACTTGTTAATTTTGTTGTTATTATTCATACTACGTAGTCTAGTATTATAATCTTTCGATTGCACCATCGTATTTATATTCATATATCCTCAAGAAACATAAAAACATTTCATACGTATATTAGATTGTATAGCTTGATAACAAATTCGTTGAAAACAGATCTCTTCGCTGGACTTCATGTTTTCAGTGTTTAAACAGGAACTATAGTAATTAGCCATTAAACTTTCACCTGTAAAATGATAGTTACCAACAAATTGATTACTGAACAGTAACTGATTTTACTCTGTATACTTTATACTGCTAATCGAATCCAATCACTCAAGTCGTATTGTGACCACTAATCTAGATGACTTAGTATCACAGTGCATTCAGTTTTACATTAGATAAGGACGGCTCGCGGAAACCTCATAAAAATTTCCTGTTAGAACTTGTCGGTAAGTTGTATTTTCAGTATCGTGAGAACTTACACGTCTTAAGGTATCGGGATTGCACTTATTACTATTAAGCAATCAACTGGTATATTTACTTATATATTGTTTAAATATTATCAAGTAATATTATTAGCACGATATGTTTCAGTGAATCATATGTGATGAAATTATAACGTATTTATCTAGTATGTACATTACTTCCGATCATCTATTTTCATCTAGTGACGTGTTCTGCAATCTAGTTAGTTTTAAACTGTCTTCCCTTTTCGTCTTCAAATGTCCTGCACATGTAGTGATGTTTGAGGTACTGAAATTCTTCTCTCAGTCTGTCGACTGTTAACTTACACTCCACGTTCCGATAAATATTGCTTGAAAGCAATCCTATTAGTAGCATTCATCAGACTACTACTGTAGTAAAAAGACTTCCAGTGACTCTCAAACTGGAATCCTTGGCAGAAAAATTAATAACCCAGTCAGCAAGTAAAACGAATTTTTACAGAAAGCTAGCTTTATATACAACAAGTACGTCAAATCGAACGACAGTATAAAATGACAAATAAATAATTTATAAACAACAGTAGATGCAAGCATTTTTACAGTTTGCTTTTTGAATCTAATTGATTTGAAGACAACAAATCTTAGCACTGATCGCTTTTCTACTTTTTTTTAATTTTTTTATAGTACACTGATATAGTAAGTGAATCTTTCAAAGAAAAGTGTGTAAATATTTTGCAAGCTTTCAAATATCAATAATTTTATATTAAGGGCCTTTACTAAAACTTTTAAAGAGATCACATTTAATTTGAAAAATTTATCGAATAATTGTGACCAAAACTTATAAATAAACTCTTTCCTACTGTTCCTAATTTTCAATGTACTCTAAGTAAAATACATTTTAAAAAGAAATAAAATATTAATAGCCCTAAGAATATGGCTCACCTTACATCCGTTAAGCTAGTTAAATGATGATTTTCTAAATTTTTTAGGTTTACAGCGGCATCTTTCACCGTAGACCATTTATCTCGTACATTTTCTTCGAATTTCTTTTTTTTTAATACAAAGTGAAACAAATACATTAATAAATGCTGTGAAATTTTACACTTTAAATAAAACGAGAAACACTTAACTGAAAGTTAATTTGAAGCTTACCTAAATAATTAGATTATTAATAATGCATTAACTTTTTGCTATGACCTGCAGTATTTTATGACAGCAGTGGGTAAGATAGTCAAGAGAATAAATAAAGTAGAAACAAAAGAGCTTGATCCAAATAATAATGGACAGATGCATTGAGTAGAAAATAAAAGAAAGAATCATCCACTTTACATGGAGCAATCTTAAAACATATAAGATTTTCAGTTACAACATCCTTTTCATATTACAACATAATGCCTTATTAGATTAGGGTTGCATTTTTCTCTACTCCAAGTTTACCACACTTCAAAAAAGTGTTTCTCTTGATTTATATCCTATCATAAGGTGTCATCTTAGGCAAACAGGAACAATTTTCTTGTTCTAGCTTGATACGAAACTAAAGGATTAGGCATTTTCGATGTGACAGGCTGATCAATACATGTAAGTAGACGTGTAAGTAAACAATATGACCATTATATTGCACATGATTATTTTTTTAAATTATATTTTATTAATCTTCTTCAAAAAGCCTTATGTAGGAAAATATTTTGATATGCTTTCGCCAATATAAAATTCATCCTGTGCATTTCATCAACAAACTTATATCGTCTCTGTTATGATGAACAATAATTAGCTAAAATAAAGCTTAATGTCGCCTTTGTTACAAAATTTTTAAATCTATGGTATCGGTGGCAAACTTTAGATCCCTCTGTTAGTAAAGATAATGGTTTAAATTAGTTTCTGGGCAGTAATCTTACATTTTTTAGTGCTCAGCCAAATAAAAACTATGTAGGTTTGAATTTGGAGACATTTTTTAACCGGAAAAGCTTAGCGTAAGGGACCTGATATAAATTAGGTCTAACGCATGGAACTGCATATGGAGGTTCTTTTTAAGACTTTCAGAAGATTATTTAAGTTATACTTAGTTATAAACAGTAAATGATCTGTTGTTACCGTTGCTGGCACAAAATGTGAGGTGAACATATTTATATCAAATTTTAAGTATCGATTTTGATTGAATAAATACAATTTATGTTTGATGAGTTTTCTCATCTGTTTGTTTTATGATCCTTTGAATCAACATGTCAACCAAAACCCTCAGATAAGGACAACGTTCTTATTGCAAGTAAGTCCCTGGGTAATTAATCTTCTCAAAAATACCATTTTTATTAAAAACCATAGCATACATGTTTATGAAGATGAATCAGACTGATTCCATATTTACATTTATTTAACCTTTGCTTGCTCACTCTTTAATTGACTTATTGCATCCTCACACTTTCTGAGGTTGAAATAACATCGAAATCCAACTTTGTATTTGTTATAAAGTAAAAAATGTAAATCTTTGCAGTAGGAGAAGTTTTTAGACATGTTTATTTTATATATAAGTTCAATTTAGGCTTCAACTGATTAGATGCTATCACTAAAAAATGAGAAGATATCCCACATGAAACTCGACATTGTTAGCATTATGAAGAACTCACTGATCAAAATGTGTGTACTTATTCATATACAGGCTAGAAGCTGCCTAAGCATATCGAGATAAAATATGTATCCTGAGGACTTTCTAAAATGAATATGGAAAAAGGGATAACCATGTATACGAATCTATCGCGATCAAGGATTTTTCCAACGATATTGTTTGTACTTAACCAAACACACAACCATCAACAAACAATGAGAAAAAACTACAAAATAGAAAGCGGACTAAAAATGTTTCATATTCTGCCCCAACTCAATATAAAAGCATACATAGGCAGTCAAAAAAATTTAAAATTGAGTTACAGCTGGTAACTGTTGAGCTATTTCAAGACACCTTTGAAACGCTGTATAACGTAGAAAGGGATAAAATACATGAGCTTTGTTCATGATGTTCATAACAAGGAAGAAAACGTAAGTATTTAGAGTACATTGGAAATGGTTTATGAAACCAGAATATAATAGTTAAGCAACAAATTTCCGGTTTGCAAAACGGAAATCCGTAAACTTCCACCATGTTAACCTGAAAGCGCGTTTATTCTCAGTATATCTTTAAGTTTTTACATATATAATAATCCTAGGACTATTAGCGAACTTTCTAATTTTCATTTATAAAAAATATATTGTTCAGACACTTAGGGAGAAAATTACAAGAAGTAATTTCACTTTAAGTGAAGAAAAGTGGTAGAAGGTCAAAGTTTAGTGACGAAAAGTGTAATTTTCTACTTGCGTTACGTGTCGATTCACTTTACAAAAATCCACCCCTAAAATCATGTTGAGAAACTAAAAAAATATTAGTCATCAACTGCATCGCTACTAAATGCAACCAGGGGATCCTTTATACATACATGCAATCCTTGATTATCTTATTAAACTGAAGGGAAGGAACCTAAAATTCATTCTCATAAATAAAACGTCCTGTCAACAACTTACACGAACTTCTGAATCGATTTTCTCAATGCTTTGAAGTAGGGTTTTGATTTCGTTGATAAGAATATCCTTTTGAGACTTCTGTTCGTGCTCCAAGAAGTTTGACCTTTTAAGATGTTCAATCATATCAGCCTTTAGAAGTGAAATTTTTTCAAGTATTCCGACAGTAATTGATTCCTGAACACCTAATCTCCATTCAACTAAGCTCTGACGATCACATTTCGGTATCTCTTTTATATAATCTATTGACTGATGGGGATAAGAAACCACGGATGCTTTAGTTGTCGGTATATGTGGAAGTTCAGTTCTGCTGTGTGCCATCCCTAAAACAATCGTTTTATAAAATATCACAAACTGAGGAAAGTGAAGTTTCGGTAAGTAAACTTACTTAACTTCCTATTTCAGACGAATTTAACAAATATCACGGTAACACCTAAAATTCACGAAAACGCCAAGAGTGGACTTGTAACGCATACCTACAACCCGTGCTTACAAAATTAAATTGGTTCTCTGTGACTATAGCAAACCTGACCGTGAAGATTCACAATTGAAAGATAGGGTGTATGACATTTCGTAATTATTATTTCACTGTGTCAAATTACTGAATTTTAGTTGGTGCGAATGTAATAAAGTAGCGAAGCGTAATATATATTACGTCTTCAAGGAAATTCACATTTGGATTGACCTGACAAGCTTATTTTGTAAATAGTTTTTAATATTATTTGTATTTATTTTGTTAACCTTTCACTGTATGTATATTTATCATTAAACGACTGTGCCTGTTGTTTCAGTCAATGACCCTGAACACACTTTTCCGTTGTGCAACCACATAGCGTGACATACTCTTGCTGGCTAACAAATACTCTACTACTCACACATTCCTCGTTCTATCTCCGTTTGTGGTTGAGTTAACTGAAGTCTAAATCAAATGCTATCTACATTTATAGACTGTAATTGGAATATATAACACATCCTACGTTGGATTATATCACTGGAGAGTTCGTCAGCCAGATTGGAACTACCAAGCATTTATAATTGTGGTTTCTTAGTACCAGACCAAAGCCGAACATGCATCAATTTGGTGAACATTAAGTAAAGTCCCAACTTTCTACTGTATTTGTAATAATTACCTTATATATATTAACATTTCTATTGATCTTTATTAACTTTGTTGATACTTTTTGCGTTTATATATCATCTGGTCCACCACATGTCAGTTTATTTGATCTGACATCAGTTAGAACATTATTGCGGATGTTCGCGACTTGCTTGAAATCCCTGTGTGCATTATCGCTTCTGATCGCTTCATTCTACCCCTTATAATATCTATCAACTACAAGCATTTGTGGACATGATACCGTATTACCATGGGTTACTTGGGACTTTCAGTGACCATTTGAGGAATAGATAGATTATTTAAACACAGTATCATTAGCAATAAGAATTCCCATTGAGCACGTAGAGTAACCTAGGCATTAGATTTTGTCTGCCTGCTCTGTGTTGCCGCTGTGATGCTGTCATATAAAATAGTTTAAGTTTTTGATGAGAGTTCTCGCCGTATGTTGTGCAGCAATTTCTACGGCTCAGGAGTTTTGATGGCCTGTCCGACCTAATATTTTATTGAACCTTAGTATATTTCCATACCACAGACCGGTTTCGTATATATTTTAGGAGTCTCCATAATTATACAACGTAGTATCGAAAGTCAAAATTTTAAACTTTATAAGCATTCTCATATTTCATATATTACTATGAGAAGATTAACTACCAGAAAAGAACGCATAGATTTTAAAGTATACATACCAAATAACTCGCTGCATAAGTTCGTTGCAGTTTATATATAAGATACAAAAGGCGAAACGAAGATAGACAATGAATACGGTAAACGACAAACAGGAATACGAAGAAATGTATAATAAATAGTTATAGCGATTAACAAGGACATGTATAAAAACGCTGATGAATAAACGTTACAATTGAGAGGTGCACAAAACGGAACGACTACAATCCTCTAGTGAAAGAACGTTTCCAGACGTTTCTTCCGAATATTCCTAGATAATTTGTCTTCAGAATACGTTGTGCTGTCTTAATTTCATGCCGTTTGAATACTAGATTTTTCTAAACGGAGATCCACAGACGTTGTTTTCCTTACAATTATGATCTAGTGGGATGGGGTCAGTAGGGCAATTTTACTTTCAGAATAGCGAAACGAATTAATTCTAGTAACACAGGAAGTTTAAAATGTTTCAATTCGTTGTTTGTCAAACCAACACAAATGATTTCATAAGGTTCCAGTTTCATATGTGGTGAATTTGGTTTAGTCAAGAAATGTATAGTAGTAGAGCGAATACCAGCAGAGTCATCAGAATAAAATTGAGACCTAAACAATTGATCATTCAAGGTGATTATATTCATACTGTCATGTCTAAATTTCCAGATTACAAGACGAGTGAGATAGGAAATTTGCTTATGTTTCGACCTTAAATCAAACGACATCAAGAGCACGTAAATTTTTCAACCGCGTAAGAATTTACTGAGGACAACCCTCCAGTGTTAGGTTTTACTAGAAACCAGGGGCACAGAGTCAGTAAAAGGGAACGAGTGGAACTAAACCAAGGTTAGAATAATGTGTGGACAGGGTTCAAAACTTGATTAGAACAAATGTCTCACAAACCAGGGCCGGGGTGCTGATAACAGTTTCAACGACTCATTTCTAACATAGCATGTTCACATCAGTTTTACAGGAATAATCTATATTCTGCAATATGGGTTTATAAGCGAGGTATTGCCTAAACAGAGTTATTAAACATTAAATCAATTGACTTGTGTGACAGACTATTTGTTCTGCTATACCAACCAGAAATTGGTTAAGCCCCTGCGATGCGACTGTACAGCTATCTTACAGGTGTTTTAACATACTCAGAACATAAGCATTAAGTAGTTTTGATGCTGGAGAACATATATACGGTTCGAGTTTTCTCAGAAGCTCTACAGATCAGATGCCCCTTTTTAATCGTGCTTCCGAAATTTAAAAGTGCCGGGGCTAATGACAACAGAATGTCGGCAAATCCTTTTTGTTTCCAATGCAACAAATTAAGGTACGTCTGATTAGTAGGTTTCACTCTAACTAAAGGCATACACTAGAATAATCTGTCAATAAAGAAACCACATACATATCAAATAAAATAAATAGTGTGTAATAAATGACGACACAATGGAATAGGTCTGAAGTAATGAAGAAAAAACTAGTTGAAAGCGCGTTGAATGCTTAATTATTTCAGAAAAGTGATACCAGAGACTATTGAGATAGTTTTAGGCTGCGGTTATCTACCAACTGCATACTTCACACCTTCATACAGTAAGCACAACACAACTGTAGAAGTCAGGAAATAGTTAAGAACTTGCTACACTCTTGACCATATACTTATTCTTTGGCTAAGCCCGTCCAGCGGTTCAGCTGGACATACCATTCATAAAATTCACCTGGGTACAGGTTATCTGGAAGTTTAAATCAAAACATGAATAAACGCCTTACTGAGGGGTATCATTAAATAGTTTCATTCCTCAGGAAACCCTACATTTCTTTCGTCAGTGGTACAGATTCTCCTAAAACCATGGCTTTTAATACAGTTTACTAAGTTTCTGTCAAAAACTCCAATGATTCCAGATCAATACAACTGACAATATTTGAAAATTTTTTCTACTTTTCTTACTTAACTGTAGTTTCCAGGACAGCTTGTATTATTTCCTAAACTGGGTTCGGTACTTAATCTTATAAATGGCACGACAACTTCATTTGGGCACATTGAAGTACAGATACCAAAACAAATTATTACGTTATGTAAAATAACATTAACAATACAGATATGCAAATCAGCTTCGAAATTAGTTGAAACACTATCAACTGCAACAAGATTTCAAATTTAATGAAACAAAACGCTGAGCCGATCTGAGTCAGATGATCAGATATTGTTACTCCCGCCCAAGATGTAAATATTCTTCATGAATTTTCTGTGAAGATGATTATTAGCTCCTACAGACATTCTAACTGACGGGTAAGTGCAATATTTTAATATATATTTTGCACTGAATCTCTCGGTCAGTGAGAGCTTTTATTCACTCCCTAGTATCAGCTAGTGCATCATGAAATAGCTCATCTGAAGTTTCAGTTAAATTTTTTAGAAAAGATTGCATTCTGAAAGCAACAAACAGGTTTAATATTTACTGTCCACGTTGGTCAATGATATATAGCTGTAGTGTCAAATAAATTACTTTGCGGAAGTTAGCATCCTTCTTGCAGATCCCAGTGACCGACTGAACGAATCAGCTTTCAACTTACAGGTGTCAAATTGGAAACCGAGTACTATATATGGTAAGCAATATGTGTATCTTAACGTGTGTTTACGCAAACCCATTTACTGGATTAACGTTGTTGCAGATGTTTCCGTGCCAAATAATGGTATACACCTGCAACAGCACCAAAACATAATCGCCGACGCCTTCAGATGGAGGTTATTAGATGATAATGCATAATTATCTGTTTGTAATACCTTCTTTTCCAATTGTAGGTTTTCCCCAGTCATTGTTAAGCATGTAGTGGACTTATATTATCAGCGAATACTTGTAAAGTACCCCTTTCATGACTGTAGGTAACCCTCGTTCATTTGATAGAAGAAACAAGACTAGCAGTTAATAGGTCTTTATTTAGATCGCGTAACAGTAACAGAGGGTCGTCGGATTACCTGTTCAGACACACAACGTTTTTCAGCATTCAGTATAAGATAATAAGAACTATAATGCCTATACAAAATAAGGAAGTGATTGAATGATTTGGCTCTATTGTATTGACATATACTCAGTTGTTTGAGGTCAACTCTTAACTAATCAATCTAAGCTATTTCGTTAGCTTCCTTTACAGTCGACTTCCATACAAACGTCAGTTCGATTATTCTATCAGTCAAGAGCACCTAATTTGTTCCGCAGCCCAAGGTAGTATTACCAACTCGCTCAGTGTTCCCAATGGATGGCAACTAACTCCGTCACCAATCGATGATGGTCTATAGATGTCTATTCATTTACTTACTTGTTATCTTATTTTGTAGCATTTAATTTCTTCCACAACTATCGCTGACGGTTTGCTACGTGCCATCTGTATGGTAATCAGAGCTTGCCACTACACCCCGAACTATACCAAATGTTGCAGTGTATAACCAGTAATGTTACGTATCACATCTTGAAAGCGCGTCAACTGTCTCCGAAAAAGCTAGGGCTGGTTGGAAACGAACTTTATTACATCATAGACTTAGGAACCACTCGGCCAT